TCGGGCCGCGGCGGCTCCGGCGGCTCCGGCGGCGGCTCCGGCGGCGTCTCGGCCGCGTCGCCGCAGCCCGCGGCGGCCGCGGCGGCGCGGAAGGCCGCGGCGCGGCCCGCGGCGCCCGGGACCGCGGCCGCGGCCGCGGCCGCGGCGAGCGGCGCGTCGCACGCGTAGGCGCGCGGGTCGTGGTAGAACGCGCGGCGCGGCGGCGGGAGCGCGGCGGCGGCCGCGGCGGCGGCGAGCGCGTCTTCGTGGCGGCCCTGGAGCGCCAGGAGCTTCGACAGCGCGACGCGGGCCTCGGCGCGCGCGGCGTCGAAGCCGACGGCCGCGGCGAGCGCCTCCTCGGCGCCGGCGCCGTCGCCGAGGCGCGCGAGCGCGACGCCGGCCTGGAGCGTGGCGACGTAGGCCATCTCGTCGCGCGTCGTGCCGCCGAAGGCGCCGGGCGCCGGGCGGCCCGCGGCCGCGAGCGCGACGGACGCCCGGAGGTGGCCGAGGCCCTCGCGGAGGTGGCCCGCGGCCTCGGGTCCCGCGGCGAGGAGCGAACCGAGCGCGACGTGGTCGACGCCGAGGTAGTAGCGCGCGCGCGCGTCGGCCGGGTCGTCGGCGACGTCCTGCGCGAGGAGGCCGATCTCGAAGCGGTAGCGGTCCGGCGACTGGGCATCGCCGTGCGCCGCGGCGTGCCACGACCGCGCGTCGGCGCCTGGGCGGGACAAGAGTGATGCAAGTTCGCTTCAACGTGAGTGATCCGCGCGCGCGCGTTCCGGAAAAAGCATCCACGCTTCGAGACCGTTCCGAGCGATGATCGCTCGTCCCAAAATCAGCCGAAACGAGTGGAAAACGGCCGAGATCGGAGCCTTTGAAGTTGGGCATGTCGCACCCTTTTCCCGCCCCGGTCGGCGCCGGCGACCTCCTCGACGTCCCAGTCGAGGAGCGCCGCGTCGTAGGCCGGGTGGACGAGCTCCTCGTGCCACCGGTACTTGACGTACGCGCCGCCGTCCATGGCGAAGCACCAGTCGAGGAGCCGCTCCGTGCGCCCGTTGCGGTCGCGGACGCGGAACGCGAGCACGGTCTTGCCCGT